TGAACACGGAAGTAAACTGCCTAAACAAAACAGTCACAACGACAAAAGCCTCCCAGAGTCCTATACTTCGAATGTGTCAGAAGCAACCTCAGTGATTAAGACCAGGAGATGCTGTGAGCATGGCTGCTGAGACGGTGGGTCCCCCTGGTCCACAATGGGGGCCATCACATGCCCTCTGTTCACTGCTTCTAGCTTTAAAGCTGGTGGTTGGGAAGGGGAGGTCCTATTTAAGAACAGAAGTATCTAGAACTGATGTCATTAAGTATGGAGGTAAAGGTATAAAGGAGAAAACTATCAGCGCTAAGATCAGGCATTCAGTAATAAAGAGAGTATTTCCCCCCGGGGCGGCCTGTGTGCAAAGAGGACCCAGGTGGTTATGACATTGAGACAGATAAATATGATACCTACACACCATTTCCTCCCAGAGATCAGGAAGTAGAACGTCTGCCTATTTGATGTCAATTTATTAATATATCAGACACGGTGTAAAGAAAAAAAAATATTACCACGCAGTTTTTGAAAAAAGAAATGTGTGAGAAGAAGCCGGGAAGGTAAAGGGGTTTTTGTGAATCTTGGAAACTGAGAAGGGAAAAGGGCTCGGGAGGGGTGTGCAACTTTGCATTTTGTGACACACTGTTTTCATTTACAACGATGTCTGAGAAATGAATCTGAGTTAACAACACAGACCCAGGACCTAGCACTGGATTCTGATAAAAACTTCTGCCCACAGTAACTGCTTGGGGAAGGGGGATGTCCTTTTCTTTTTCTTTTTTTTTTTTTTTTCTTTCTTAGTAAAATTATCTGCCAGAGAAATAATGAAGTGTAAAAGGACTAGTCAGAGTGTGCTTGCCTATTTAGGCTTTCAAAATGCTAGCGGTCACTTTCTGGGCACTCCCCTTCATATGACTGTACACGTATCTATACATACATGCACTTCTATATGCGTGCACACACACACACACACACACACCTTTCAAGATTCAATGGATCTTGAAAACTAAGACTGCACATCCACTATCACAGGTAGAAACAGTCAGCCCTGTTCCGTTCTGCACACTGTAACTTGAGTAGCTACAGTGAGCTTTCTGTGGGTCTATCTTGACCCCCCTCCAACAAGAGGCAACCTAATCAGTATAGAGGTTACACATAAAATAGCCTTCTTCTCTAACACATCTTTTTTTTTTTTTTTTCCAAAAGGAGACTAAGTGGAAGTCAAAGGCAGGTTGTGGTCACACCATGACTGTAAATAACAGTTATAATAATATATTTTTAATATACAGTTCATACATAAATCTCAATTTGTGAATACACTGGTAAGGACACGTTGATGGGGCTTCCAAAATGTGGCACATCCCACTGATGGCTCCAGCTTGCGAGTGGGCTCAGTTCTGTAATTGGAATGAGAGGAATTTTAACACTATTTAGACAAAGACTCAAAGGAAGTGTAAAGGGAAGCTAGATTTGCTTATAGGATATATCATTACTATTTTAGTTTAGAGACTTATTACAAATCCAATTTGTAATAAGGGCACTTAGGCAAAACATTGGATTTCTTTGTTAAAAAAAATAGCATATATTCATGATCACCACTCATGCTATAGTTCAAAGTTTTTAAGTAGTGGTTATTTCTAAAAACTCCTTTAACTTCAAGTTCCTGTCTCCTCAGTCAGCCTCCCAAGCTCCTGCTCCTTCATATTCGGAGCCCAAACCTGCTCATCACATTGAACTGCCTTGTACCGTCCTATCAAAACACTTAATTGTTGCACAACTGTATTTTTCTCCCAAGTTGCATTCCTGATGAGATAATCACACTAACTCTATCCTGGATGTCTTTCTTATTTTGAGAATGTGTTGGCCTGAAACCTTTCATCTGATGCATTTTGTATAAATGATATCTCCATTTCTACTTATTCAGGGGGAGGCTACAAATCAGATTGGAATGGAATCAGAGGGGGGGAAAAATACCTCTGAAACAGAAAACACTGAACTTTCAGTACATGGAAGAAGGTTTACTATTAATATCCGTTAAACAAAATTAAGTGCGCACTTAGACCCATATCCAAACTGGCATGTAAAAGGAGGTCAGAATGTAGAGGGTATATACAGAGTCTTCATGTGCCTTGAAAAAGGGAAGAGCATAAAATGATAAAGTGGCCACAACTCGTCAGGCACAAGCACAACCTGTTTTCTTCAAAATAAGGCCTTCCTTCAGAGTTGCAATATTATCTTTTTTTTCTTTTTTAAAGAACCAAAACCAAAATAAAACAAAAGTCACCATGTTTGGCTATATTTTCAAAACAGTGCTGGCTTTGTCTAACATTCTATTAGGCTTCTAGGGAAGTTGACTTCAAAAGTGCAAACTGCATGAATTTGTAACATTAGGTGCATCAGTTTGTGTCATTTTAAAATAGGTCAATGCTGTTGGCAAGGCTTTCCCAGCCATCTTTAGATTAGCCCCCCTGTACCACCTGTTTTTGTTTTTGTTTTTGTTTGGGGGGGGGTGTTAAATGCCTATACATCAAAACACAACCTTTATTTCACCAAGACTTTTTTTTTCCTCTCTTGCACTTCTGGAGTTAAGGTGATCTGAAATCATTACCAGCTTGTCTGGTGAAGCCCTTTGCTAAACATTCAAAGTGACACGGGATTTAATAGCAGTTTAAAGCAGATATGTACTTGTAGTTTTGCAAGTGAGGAGTGGATTTTTCTTTTTCCTATTTAACACAAGTGACCTTCAAAGTTAAAACAAAAAACACAACTTTGATTTGTCTAAAGTGTTGATGTTATATCTTAATCAGGCCTTGCTCAGAAGAAAATGATGGTGTGCAACTGAAGAAGGAAAAATAATCAATTGTAGGCAAGAACTGTTTATGTTTACCATTAAACACACACATGCCAAACCCCCTCCAAGATGCCCTACGGGTTTGCCTCTTTTTTTATCTCCTTGGGCTTGCTGCTGAATCAGAATCTCAGGGCCAAGACTCTGGCTCTCTGATTGGAATATTTGTTTGTTTGTTTGCACCAGAGGGCAATGATGGCTCAATTAGTTTGAAAACTGATAACTTTTTTGGGGGCCAAGGGGACAGTTGAAAGGTCTAATTTACATTTATATAAAATAGTGCTAATTATTAAAAGGGAATGGCCTCCCGCTTTACTGAGCTTGTCTACGTTTCTCCCTGAATCATTGCCTCTCTATTCCTCCATTAATCCTTCCTGTGGCGAAAAGGATGCGTTTTACACATCTAATGCAGTGTTGGGCCCAGTTAAACTGTACACTAAGAAACTTGAGTACAGAATCAAAAAAAAAAAAATGCAGTTTATTATTGCAGATTATTCTTTCTCTTGATATAACCAGAATTGAAAATGAAAGAAAAGCACATAGGAACATCACGCGTGGTTAGTTAGTAACTCAAGATATAAAACAATTTTGCACAGCAAAATATGTAAAAAAAAAAAAAAAAGTAACTGACAAGATTTTTTTATATTTATTGTGGTAAGATTTACTTTTCATTTTTTTAAAGACAGGATGTCAGTCCCTGAAAATAACATTTACTGATTATTGCCTTTAAAACTGTGGATTTTTTTAAGTTACAGAAAATCCAGTTCTGCACCACAATACAACTGTAAAAAAATCTGCATCATCTTAAAACTGTGCAGTAATGCCATTTTTATAACTGCATAAATTTTATTAGCGTTCTAAACAGTTTTGCAAAATTTTTTGTATTATATGCTTGCAGGTTAAATCTTAGTGCAATTCAGTCCCAAATACTTTAATTTTGAAAAAAAAAAAAACATACATTTTGAATGTAAAATACCCCTACAGATATAAACAGGGGTGTTTCCCCTTTTAATACTTTGGTTTTCAATACAGTCAGTGGTATAGCAAAGACTACACATACCCAACTTATATTTAAGTTGCAAGCACATGCTGTATAAGCTACTTTTTTTAAACAGTCCCCTTGCAAACTCTACCCCCCTTAACATCACAACAATAAACAATTTAGTGCATCAATCTTTTAAAAAATCTACAGCTAAACAGACCTAACTCTTTCAAATTTATCTATAACATTCCTTTATCTGTAGCATACATTTTAACTGGGCTAACAGATTATAAAAACTAGAATTAAATTATATACTAGAAACCCATAGCATTCCACATTTGACAATGACCAAAAGCCAAAAAAAAAAAATAATAATAATAATAATAAAAATAAAACCAAAATAATGGGGCAGGTTTCTTCTCTTAAAAAATAAATTTTAGACTGCTTTAGGCATCAGCACAAATTTAGTCCCCAAAGTGGGGTGTCATTCTTCTTAAAAAACAGAGATATTTTTTATCTTTGCCATGTTAATTTTTTAACCCATCCTGGCATCTTTTACAAGGTATGCCTTCAGTGCATTTACAATGGGAGGCTGAAGTTCTGAGAAACTCAAAGAAGTTTTGGAGCAGATGCAAACTTTCATGGGAAGAAGGTTCTAGGGTTGCACTTTTTTGTTCTGAACTCAAAAAGTCATGAGGCAATAAAACAAAAGTATGAATGCCATGCCATAAGTCTTCGAATGTCCATTTCCAAGCCAAAAGGAAAAAAAAGAACAAAAAATAATTATACCATACATGTCCAGCATGCAGGCTTTTTTTTTTATTAATATAATGTCTCTTTTCCATAAAGTCTTTGAAACAGTTATAGTTCATTGTTGCTAAGACAAAGTAGCAAGCATAATAATGCATGAGATGAGAATGAGTTTTTTAATGGCAGACTAAACTCTCAGATTTGGCATCATAAAGCCAAAACTCACAAGTCACACCCAGAAGGTTGATGCAGGCTTGATTGTGGCAGGTTCATGAGGATTTTTTTTCCTCTATTTTAGCATGACAGTGCTAAAAAATAAAACCCGATGAAACTCAGCACGCTGCAAGTCTATATAACATTTCACATTTTTTTTTCCTTTGCAAGCTCAATCTCACATGAAGAACTCAGGAGGAGGAAAAAAAAACTTAGTTTTTTTTTTTTTCTTTTATCTCAAAGGAGATAGGTGGAGAAGGAGTGAGGGTGGAGGTTGGGAAAGGGCAACACAGCAAGCTCCAAAAAGTAAAATTAAAAAATAATAATAAAAAAATAAAACACACACACAGAAAATGAACACTAGCTCATGAACTGAAGAAAAAAAATATGTGTGAATGATGCAGGCTTCAAAGATGAGCAATGTTTCACATGAAGAACTCTGCTGAGATCTTTAAACACTGTGCATGTTGGGGTTGGGGAGGAGGGGGAAAAAAAAAAAAACAAGCCAGCAAGTTAAGAATTGCAGATTGGCAATCCGTGCACCAGTCGGACATCCACTCCCTCCCCAATTAAAAAACAAAACAAAAACAAAACAAAAAAAAAAACAAAACAACAAAAAGAAAACAGCCACCACAACCACCAACTCAGAGCAGTGTGTGTGTGCGTGTGTGTACATGTGTGTATAGGGGGCAAGGAAGGAGGGCAACCTTGGTAGGGGAAGGGGCGAGGTGGTGGCGAGCATGGCTCTGGAACTAGCAAGCCCACACCCGAGTCGGACCCCCACGGAGCACTTAATCAAGGTGGCTAGCTGGGATCGTGTGTCAGACTCACATGAAAAACTCAGGAGAGGACGGGTTGTCGCTGCTCGAGCCGTTTTCTCTGAAGCCGCTGCTCACCAACTTCTCGTATTTCTCCTTGTACGCGTCCCTCTCGCGCACCAGCCTGGAGATCTCCTGCTTGAGGTGGTCGACCTGCTGCAGCAGCTGGTTCTTCTCGGACTCCAGGACGTGTCTCTGCTGCACCCTCTTGAAGCGGCAGGACTGGGCATAGCCGCGGTTTTTCAGGGTCCGCCTCTTCTGCTTCAGCCGGATCACCTCCTCCTTGCTGACCCCTCGCAGCTGCCGGTTCAGCTCGCGCACCGACATGGTCACCAGCTGCTCATCGGAGAAGCGGTCGTCGAAGTGCAGGCCGCCTGCGGCGTGGTGCGGGTGCAGGGCGCCCCCCGCCCCCG